TATACATGATAATGTTACTAAAAAATGTTACTCAGCACTAGGCTGGAAGGATWAGAAGGGCAAAAGGAGAAAGGACAGAAATTCCTAGTTGCATTCTCCATTCTYCAACCTTTGATACCTTAGTTGCTAGGAGTGCTTAACCTGGCTCTRAGAGGAACACAGTTTTTGCTTTAACATAGTGCCTCAAAAATAAACAAAGTAGGAATGTAGTTGAAGAAGTGGGAAAATACTTGTGTGCAAGCACAAACATACGGCCTTACACTGAACTACACCCCTCTTCTTCAGTGACAGCATTCAAACAACTGTGCATAGCAAATAGGAAAAATTAGGGGGGGGGAAAAAAGCTTAATCAAGTTTTTGTATTTGAGACTTAAAAYATGAAAAGAAGCAGCATGCAAAATTCAGTCACACAATTTTTCATTCTCACTTGATCAATCAAGCTGCAAAATGTGATGTTCTATAAGTAAATATTATAGATCATGTAAAATAGTTGACTCCAACCTGCAAAGACTTGTATAGAACTTTTCCAAAGTTCCTACATGAAAATGAAGTGCTGARGCCTGTCGCTTCATCCAAAAATTATAGCAAGAAAATCTTTTTGCAGGGAGCAATAAATTTTGCTCATTTTCAAGACTGCACTTTGATGAAAACAGTTAAAGCACAATCCTTTCATTTTTGTTTCCTTGAAGTTCTGCAAATGCCCAGTTTTGCTTGCTCCAGCCCTACCTTCCTCCAGTTCAACTATGGGGAAATTCAATATGAGATTCTCAGACTGTTTTAAAATTTTCTACTAAAATGCATATTTAACTCATAAGCYATAGCCAAATATCTTAATCTGAAGAGCATACAAGTCCCTAGACTTGTATATTTTTAGTACTTCTTTCATCCTTACATTCTGAAGGCAACATATCTAGACCATACCATGATCTAAATTATTAGACCATGATCTAAATTATTTTTCACACCATTCACTGTGATCTTTTAGATCCAGTAATTATCTAATCACRTACTCCCTGCAGAACCAAACAGACGTGTCTTCTTCAGAGGTTGACTTCCCAAGTCAGAAAGTTTGATCCTTTAACACTCATGATGTTACTTACTATAGAATCGAGTAACCATACTATAAACCAAAGAAAAAAAATTTAGAATTTAAAAAAATCCCTATATATCATAAAAGAATATTACAGCATTATTAAACTGGAAAGTTTAAGCCTGTCATTGAACCTGTATTTAATAACATCCTAGGAAACTTGAAAATTAAATGAAAAATARTAACTTTTTTTCCATTTACTTCTCAACCAGAAGTAAGTTTGTTTCCAACTCGAGAGAAAATCTTGGTATTTCAATTTTAAAATATTTTGGTAYGCTTTGGTTTTAAACTAATCAAGACATATGCATTTCCCACTACATTCATTGTTCAAAACACAGATGGAAGGGGAGTAAGAAATTGCAAGACATAACATTGTTATACAATGTACTATACAAAAACCTGTCATTTAAGTTGCAAGAAACCTAGTCATCAATAAGTGAAAAAATACCTCGCTCAAAAATCAATTATGTTGAGTCTTTTGTATAGAGAAGTAGTACACCTTTCAGGCAACTGGTATTAATGAGCAGACATGGCTATAGAATCTCCATCTGTTTTTCTGACAAAGCTGTGACTACTCCAGTCTCTCATTGAAATTCCATTAATCTGGTGCACCAAGGACCAATGCGAAAATCAAAACTCCATCTAACCCTTTATCAGCTCACAATAACCTACAAGTGAACTCTGCCTGTTAGCATACAGCAAGTTATGATTTTGCTATCAATCAGGCTGTTAGCCAATACAAAAAAAAAAAAAAATCAAGTTAAGACCAGAGTGCCTGGCTGTGCTGTTTTGTTTGGTCTGTCTTGTTTTTCAGTTTGTTATTTTATTTGGGGGTTTTGTTGTGCTTTAYCCCTCTACCAATTTCTGTAGGGTGTCTGGACATGTAAGCCCATGCATCATTCTCTTTCGCTGTGATTTAATTGCTGCCAGCAATCAAGTCAAAGCATCACTGAAGTGTGCTTGAATTTCATTAGATGATATAACTTATGCTACTTTCCTACAGTACCTAATAAACCATAAAGAAACCAAAACACATATGGCTTGAGGGAATAACTGGAAAATTAGGTGGCCATTTGGGAACTGAGTGAACTTTTGAACCAGAGGAACAGAGAAAAAGAAATATTAAAAGGAAAGACAGACTTAGAATGCACACAGAGACGTGGGGGTTTGACCTTTTCAGTACCTAGAAAATTACATTAGCATTATGAAAAATACATATCATGTTTAGAGTTTATAATCCATCAAAGTTTAGATACTTTGTTAGTGCCTACCATAAGGTAAAAGTCAAAAGGACAACATAACAATCAGATTTGACAAAAGGCCTTTAGGTGACCTGTGCTAATTTAGTTATCTCATACTTATTGTTAAATGGATTATCTCTCTTGTAATTAATACACCATTAGACAAAGGTCACACAAAAACTCTAGGATTTTACAATGACTGTAACGTACACATAACACACTAATCCTTTATCTGTTACCAAGTGGGTGCCTTCGCAAATTATGTTTTGACAGTAATGCCACAAAGTCAAATTGTGACACTTTCACAAGTCATAAAAACCTTGCAGTCTAATTCAAGTATATAAAGAGAAATGCCTTGGGTTTTTTTCACCGAAAACATATATAGAAGGTTTTACATAAAAATAAGAATGGACTCTAATATAAATAAAAATCACCTCAATTTGATTACCTATAGATAGGGCCCTCTGTTAATGATGAGAGCCTTGATCCTTCACAAATCAGATTTTAGATCTGTACAGAGACCTGCTGAATTAGACTGAGCTTAATTATGTAATCTCAAACTAAGCTTACAGACCTTACAGACCTAGTTTTCTTGAGTAGGATTTAAATATTGAATATTAACAGAYTGCTAAAAAACAAAAATACAGTATTAACCTTCAACAAACCCATTCATGCCTATTAGAACTGAAACAAATGGCACCTCTGGGGATCAATCCACCTCTTATAAGATTTTCCCAACATACATTTTCATATATAGGCTAGGTGGCTAGACTGGAATGAYGGATTATATATGTTAAAATCAAATGGTCTTAGAATGACACACTGGACATTCAAAGAGAAAAAGAGGAACAGTGTTTACTCCAATAAATGCAGTATTTACAGATCAGAATTTACCACTTTCTCTCAAATTTTCCTCATGCTGTACTCCCACTAGGTAAATTAAAGATAATTTATCATAAAATACAGAAAGACCGCTGAGGTAAAATCACCTCAAATATAAAAGAATCGCACCCTCTATATTTCTACYTAAACTGGTACAAATTAGTCAAGATGTTGTTGAGCAGCTAATACACCTACTCTCATAACTTCCACAATAGGCTAAAAATTAATGACCCAGCTATACAAACTCGTATAGTATTTCACATACTCTTGCCTCAGCATTCTTCAGCCATTCATTATTTAGGTTTATGAACATTATCACTTCTCTCTTGATTAACTGTTTTGAAACAATTCTGTAATCATATCTCCTATTAAATAGTCATATAATTTTGTCACATACCCTTTACGCAATCAGTACCATGTTATTAAGTTACAATTAGAAATAATGATAAGATTATGTTTGYAAGCAAAAATAAATACATGCAAAGTTGCATTCATCTGTAGTTTTGAAAATTAGCTTGTGTTTTATAAAAGCCATATTCAATTTGACTGATAATTACATTTCAGCCAGAGAGCAAAAAGGCCTGGTTTTACTTTTTTTAATAGAAGGTCACACTGCCAACAYGCAATAAGCTCAATATAAAAAAGAAGTGTGATTATTATTGTTATACATTTTACAGAGTTCTGGACATAAAAAAAAAAAAGCATTATTCTGAATCAGTGGTTAGAAGGTTTATCACTTATGCATGTACTTGACTTATCCCTGTTCTGCAATAGACATAATTTTATACCTCATAAAAGCAATTTATGTTTCCAAAGGGAATAATCTGGATAATATAAAATGTGGAGTGCTACATTGCAGGAAGCATATTTTCATTCAGCAATTGTATTTCGAGACGGAGCTGCACAGTTTGATCATCATATCATGTCAGAAAACATCATTCACTAGTAAGTCTATCTAACTTCTAGTGYCACAAATTAATATACATCGTTAATTTATTTGTACATATACTTAATTTACTGCCATATATTATCCATAGAAGGTGTTTGTATTATGTATACAATAAACTAATCTCAAAAATATGGACAGTACACTAAAACAAGCTTGTTAACATTTGAAATATTCAATTGTTCATGTCTTCAGAACAGTCACATTTAGCACTAAACTTAATGAATACAAAATAAAACAACATGGAAAACAGCTATGGAGCATAGCCTTTTTTTAAATGCAAACCCAAATTTAAAATTTATGTAACAAAAACATTGTACAAAAGACTGTCTTAATGGAAGGAAACATTGTAGGAATAATTAATTTAATATTTTATGAACCTATTCTGCATGGAGTTTGCTGAAAAATATCAATCACATAAACCGTTTCATTATTTATTAGATAAATAATACAGTAAGCCATTAAGTAGCACAATAAAATTAAGCAAGAATCTGATAATGTTGAATTAACAAACAATTTGTTACTACAAATATTCACACTGTTTTAGCCACTGATCTATCTTTAAAAACATACGCATCAACAGAAACTGCTTTGTTATCAAAAATCATGAGTTTAGAAACACTATGTAAATCCGAGAGAGCTTCACTATGCTCTAGGACCACTAGAGAGAGCTCTTCAGTTCTTTTAAAGGTTCCTGTAAAGGTAAGAAAAGTGTCCAGCTGTGCAGCTTATCTGTTTATCTGTTTTCCAACGCTAACATTCGCATCACGAGGATCTGATTGCATCAGTTCATAGAAAATTGGCAAATCTAGTACATTCTAAGGTAAATAGTGTCACATACCATCAGAAGGTGCTTCATCCTCTTTATCATATCGGTCGGATGCTATTGAGACGCTATCGGGAGGYGAAGAAAGAGAGTTCTCAGACTCTTCCTCATCTTCCAGCCCTGTAAAAGTCAAAATATATTGCTAGTTAAATAGTCTATCACACAAATACACAGAATAGAAATATGTATGGTAGTAAGAAGGATATTAATTCCTATCTGGAACTGAAAAGATCTTATTTCTCACGGACACTCAGACTCCAGTGCGGCTGTGAGCGATGCCGTTCTAGGGCTACCTTCTGACCCAATGCATAAATGCTGCTAGAGCAGTTTCCCTAAACGCTGTCATATAATGAACCTGCTCCCAGCACTGCACAGCGGGCAGCTGCTCACAAGGGGGAAAAGAAACACCATAGCAAAGAGGTGGGAAAGAGAAAACACTGGCAGAAGAAAAAAAGGAGAGCACCAGGCTCCGAAGTTCTGCCTGTCTTAGTGCAGGATGGAGCAGCAGCAACTTCCCAGGGAATGCCAAACTACTGTTGGCAGCAGTTTGTTGACCTCTACCCACTTGCACTGCTCTTCACTGTAATTAGGCATTGCTTTGAAAAATCCTGTGTGCATTGCTCCCATGAAACTGGGAGCGGAATTACTGTCTGSCAGCACCTGGTATGAACCTGTGGCTTAATGCAGATTCTGTTAATTAATTTCTTGCCCAACTGAGAGTTTCACTACAAGAGATACAAAATCTACATTATCAGCTAACCTAATGCACTCTGATCAGTGTCATGCATAAGCGTGAAGGTSTGGGAAAGATGTAGTGAAATCAATATTAGTCGAGGCTTTCACTTAATTAGACAAAACTTAACTTCTTCTTCCCAAAACTCAGTATGTTTTCTCAGATATGTTTAATACATTTAGGCAAAGAAAAGCAGGGAAAATAACAAACTACATTGCTCCTAAAAAGAACAAATCAAGTCTTGGTGAAGGAGAAAAAGCTAAATATKACAAAAATCACCAGACCAGAATCATGAAGTTGATGATCCAATAGATCAAATGGTCTGCAAATTTCTTGAAAACCATGTAAATTGTTCAAGCATGGCCTTTTGGGATATACATACACAAAAAGCTTTCCAGAGACCCCCAAATATCCTTCTCTAGTCAYGTGCTCCCTTTTGGAGCACTTAGAAAACTAATTTCTAAGAATCCAAAATAAACCCATGCATAGTGAAAATATTCTTCTCCACAGACACAGATATTGCATTCATCAGTAGGACTGCCGAGCCATGGCTGTTTTACCCCCTCATGTTGAATAACAGAAATACAGAGGAAATTCAGAGACTACATCCAGAAAGCACCATGGCTGTTTGTAAAGTACAGCAAGTGTTCTATGCAGTCAAAACAACAAAGCCTGGTATTTGGTTTGCTGGAGTTCTTTTACATTCAAAGATTGTCAAATACCAGCTTAGTTTTCCCTTCATTGATTTAGTATGCTTTTTTTGGGAAAGCTTCCTTCCAAGCTCCCATGCCATTTAACAACTGCTCTAAATCTGAACCTGATTCCAACCTATTTTTGACACAGGCCTCTTCCAGTAGCACGTCAGTCATCGTGTTAATCTGATCAAAATATTTGCACTTCATCACACCTGTCAAACCAATCAAAAGTAAATTATTTCTCTCTAGGATTCACCTCTTCCTCCAAACAGAAAAACACAGAGCAGATAGCATATGAACAGAAAATATTATGCCATATTTATAACCAACATGATCATCTTTCACACTTAGATGCCAGAGACCAGTTGCCTCTCTCTCTTTGCCTATATATATCTTTATTAGATGATACACTCCATATAAGAAGAGCAGATATGATATTCACAGCCTATAAAATGGCAAAAGTTGTTCCACTGTTTTCTTGTCCTAAACTTTTGCTRGTGCTGGAATGCATTGAATATATGTGTATATGTAAGCAGTGKTTGTCAATCTAAAATGTCCTCTTATCAGCTATGCATAAACATGTTATCATTTAACCTTCATGAAAGTGACAGCAGAAATTTAAAATATTAGGCTGTATTTCTAGAAGAAAACAATTCCACAAAAACCACACTCCAGCACATATAATTCATGGGCTGAATAGCAAACCTTAGCATATTTGAATGAATAACACCTGTGGATGGCAAGTAGGGGAGTACACAGAAAGAACATCTCCAGAGGATTTTGCCCCACTCAGCAATACCTAATCTCTCATGTACGTTTGTACAGCTGCACTGTTACCTCGCTCTTCTAAGTCACCCTACCACCATTTTCCAATTAYGCTTAGGTTTTCAAATTCAGTAAACATTTGTGCTTTACTTTCATATAAAAGCCRGATGACYAAGAACAAGGGACTTTTTAATACAYAGATACATATTTAGGGCATACCATATACCTATCACAGATTGTGCTGGTTTTGACTTGGATAGACTTAATTATTTTCACAGTAGCTGGTAGCAGGTTATATTTTGGATTTGGCTAAAAACAGGGTKGATAAAACATGCATGTTTTAGTTACTCCTGAGCAGTGCTCATGGTGTCAAGACCTTTTCCTCTCACACCATCCCACCTGTGAGTGGCCTGGGGGTATGCACAAGAAGTTGGGAGGGGACACAGCTGGGACAGCTGATCCCAACTGACCAAAGGGATATTCCATACCATATGATGCTATGCTCAGCATATAAAACTGGGAGGAAAAGGAAGTGGGGGACATTTAGAGTGATGATGTTTGTCTTTCTAAATCACTGTTACTTGYGAYGGAGTCYTGCTCTCCTGGGAATGGCTGAACACCTCTCTACCTATGGCAAGTGATGAATGAATTCCTCRTTATGTTTTGCTTATGAGTGCAGATTTTGTTTCACCTATTATATCAACTTTATATCAACCGATGAGTTTTCTCACTTYTACCCKTCCRATAATCTCCTCTATCCCAGCGGGGGCAAATGAGCGAGGGACTATGTGGGGCTTAGTTGCCATCTGGAGTTAAAACCATGACAGTAATATACTGTATTTGAAACAACAAAAACCGTGGCAACACTGAATGAAGCTTTAGAAAAAAACAAGTATCTGTCCTATGTCTACAATACCCAAATTCAAAATGCTCTTAAAACAAAACAACCAAAAAAGAAAAGTGTTGAGAGTATTATGAAGAAAGAAATTAGATACTYGGTGCTTTATAGTTGTCAAAGCATTCTCTACATGTCAAATCCTAAATAAGGCTTGAAGACTTCAATGAAAAGAAAAAGCCCTCATTGAGAAATGATTTATATAATTGTTTTGATTGTCTGTGTCATACAATACTACATTTAGGTACCCACACTTCACATGAAAAATGCGGAGAATAGGTGGCAGACTCTAGACAAGTACAAGGAACCTGCACTCATGCAGGACTAGATTAAACAAAAAAGTCCTCCATTTTTATTTCACAGTAAATAAAAATAGTGGAAAATAAATGATTGTTTTCATAAATTTATATTRTACACTAAAAAAATGCAATTCTTAAATCATCTAATTTGTACAGAAGAATTGCAGGCATTTCCATAGTAAAGCTCTGGAGCTTTAACAGCCAACATTTCACAATGTGTTTATGCACCAACATAAAAGAAGGACTACTTTCTGGTATCCACACTGGAGGTTTGCCTYCTAGTTCTGTCAGGGTTAAAAGATACCTCAGGACCGAAAGCTATTAATATATAAAGGCATTACTCCTGACAGTTCACAGGGAGGCTTCCTGTTGATCCTGTGTTGTGTCTTACGTTCCCAGAGTAATCTCTGTCCTTTCTCCACTACCAATGTGTTGCATTGCAGTTTATACTCCACTTACGGAGTAAGAGCAGACAGAATTGCATTTGAAGCTCCATGTGTTACTCCTTGAACAGTCAGAGGAGTCACTGTTGAGCAGTACAAACCACTATTCTCTTCAGGTGCCAAGTATCTAAAAATACACCCAAAAAGCATCAATAAATTAAAAGAAAAGCATTCAACTTGCACTTATGTAATAGAAAACTGAACTACAAAGCAACAATGGGCATCAGGTAAATGTATCCAATACAATTTGCAGGCATAATTGAAAGCATTGCTGCCTAATCAAACATCTAAAAGCAAAGCATGCTCAAACAAAATGTGTATAGACTCATTAGTTGGCAGCCATTCCATTACAATCACACATWATGTCAGTAGTGCCTTGAACCCGTGCCAATGACAACAGCATAAATTTTGCATCTCATTTCTATGGTCATAAAATTAATGACCAGTTTAAAAATACTTCTTTGCAAAAGTTATTGCCTAAAGAAATGACATGAATGTGTCCCTGTTATGCAGCCACAAGTATAATTATGGAGTTGATGCTCATTAATACAGTTTTTTTWTGTTTCCCCAGAATAACATATGATTTATCTGGAAGTTGGGAAAAAAATTGAATCATTAACAGTAGATATTTAACAGTCACAACAAAAATATGTACATGAATGGACTCTATCCTTCAGTTTCTGCAACTAAAACTAATCTCTTACAGGTTTGATAGTATTGATAGATCAATAATTTATTATGTCTGTAACAAAAAAATACAATGTCATTTCTTATTAAATGCTACCTTTTCCATTACAGCTTACTTACTGATTCAGAAAATAATGCATMAGTTTACCACATTAGGAACAGAGCATAAAACAAACTCTCTTCATTGCATCAAGGGCTGTACTTCAGTTCCTACCCCCTGTTCAGAAGACTTTCAACAAATTTGGTTGGTGCAAGCTCAGTATAATGAAYAGGACAATATTACATTATAAGAATCCAGTGCAAAAAAACAGACTTCTCTTTTCCCCCAAGAATTCATTTTCTTATGCAACAGTGAGATTATAGTAATGAATTCCTAAGCGTTAAAGATAGTGCTYCCACCACTTAATCTAAAAAGAGCAAGCAAGATGTTTCAGCCAATGCCTCTGAAAGATACTTGCTAGCTCACATCGTCAGATAACKAAACACTTTCAATTAATTTCTAAAAATGTCTAGACAGAATGATGCATTAAAACTGCTCAATTTAAGAGAAATAAAACAACTCAGGAAAATAAAAAGACATGTAGGCCAAACCACCCAGCTTCT